GCTGCATTGTTTTAAATGTAAAAATGATAAAAATATATTGGGGAAAAAAAGAGAAACTTCTACTCCAGAAGACATTCTGATCAATGTTCCCCTGAGTCATCAGCTTCCATTTATTTTTTTCCTGCCATCAGCACCACACCTTTCTTTTTTCTTTGCAATGATTTCTATGATTGGATAGTGATTAAGATATTGGACCTGTAATAGGGACATCCAGATTCAAATCCATCCTCCATTATGGAAGATCTCTGGATGAATTTGGGCTAGTTTCTTTCATAGGGAATGGAGGAAAATAAAGGGAAAGGAAAGGATGCTATGGGTGCCACCCTCTTGAGTTACTGAATGAAAAATGGAACAGGGAGGAAGGGAGGAAGAAAGGAAGGGAGGGAGGGAGGGAGGGATTGCTCTGCCTTTCACCTGCATATAAGCAGATGCACTTACGTGATGGGCAATGATAGATGTTTCTCTTTCGTTGAAAGGACTACCTTGGCTCTTCTAATCCAGCACTGGCCAAGGTCTTACAAAGCTCTTATAAATTATCATCCTCCTTCTTGTCTGTCTGCAGGCCTCAAAGCAAATGAACAAGAACAACAAGCGGCTCTGAGAGTAGCAGAGAACTTCATCTCACAAATGAAATATCCCCAGAATACTCAGGTAAGGATCCCACAAGCTTGTGCAAACCGTCTTTAAAATGCCCAGAAGGTTTTCATAAAAGAACGACGCACGTCCGCTGACAGGTTCAGAGAAGGTCTAGGGGGAAAGGTCTGGAGGAGAACAGCAATGTAGTGGTGTAACTCAAACATCTGAAGAGTTCTCGAGAAGTAGACAAGGATTTGTTCTATGCTTCCTTTATTTTTCTCCATATCTCACCTGCTTTTAATCTGTTTCCAGGTACAGATCCTGCCCCAGGGCCGTGAAAGTCTGCTCTTCAAACAGTTCTTTACACACTGGAAGTGAAAGCTGGAGTCTCCACCTTATGCTGGCAATACTCTGTGACTGTGCCTTTCTGCCCCATCAACCATTCAAGCCTTATTGAATTGGAGCCACTGAATCCTCCTTGCCTTCTGCCTTTGACCAACCCCCTTTAATCAGAAGCTCTGCAACTGAACCAGGATGAAACCTTCTCTTTCCCTACTTCAATCTTCAGTATTGCGATCACAGTAGGGCAACCTTAACTGGAGGGATCCTCTCTCTTACTTTTTTGAACCAGTTCCTCCCAATTGTAAGCCTCTACCTCTTTATGTCTAGACAGTGATAATGGGACATTCTCATCTCTACAGGAAATAGAACATTTTGATGTGAGTTAAGAAAAGCCTGTGGCTGGTTTCACCCATTACACTGAACCATAACCAAGCCAGTCACATTTATTGGGTGCAAAACCCAGTCTTACACAAAATGTGCTGATTATTACTATCTAATGATAGCTTTACTTCCTTCCTTGCATCATTGGCTGTATTCAGTGCCTTGAGTCATACCTTTTACTGAATTATATCTTTCCTGTTTCACATAATATATTGCATCATAAACTAACTAAAGCGACCGAGTTTGACCCAACCAACCATCTCTGCCTTAATCCTAACCAAGTTTAACATTTTGTTTGAACACACCTGTCAAGTTAGATGTGTTGTGTAAACAAAGCCAATGGTTTTTTTTTCCATGGCTGGTGACAGCTTGCAATCAATCACTCTAAGAACACCCAGAGTTGTGCAATTTCATGCTTGCTTTAATAACTTTCCTCCTTTTCCCATGACTTTTGCTTTTGTGTCTTTCTCCCCACCTGGAACCCAGGGAACACCCCTCCCCCATCAACCTGGGTGGGACAAGAAAAAAAGAGCAGCGAAGGAGGCAGATGTCCCACAGGGAGTCTATGCATATCCTTTTGGCCGGAAGCAAGGACCGAAACCTGTCTAGTCTCAGGCATGTTAAGTTTCCATTCAGGTCTACAATCTATCAAAAGTTGCCTGGTAGGTTGGATCTGGCTCCATCTGTCATGCCTGCTTTAAACAGCAAAGGCCGTGCTCTTAGCCACCCTCTAGGCATTCTTCACCTTTCAATCATCTGCCTTTCTCTTTCTAGTTCTAGGCTGCAGTGGAGCTTTCTTGATTAGCTTGACAGGCCCTGACAAGCAAGATTGCATCATTCCACAGCTGGGCTGATGGAGTCAGTGTCAAAAGCAGCAGCTCCTTCCTGCGCCTGCTGGAAGTTTAAAAAAAAAACAAGTGGGGGAGGAAAGACTTCACTGCTTCCTTCCCTAAACAAGTTTCGACTTTTGCCCAAGGAGAACTTTTACAATATAAAGAGAACTGACCAGTTAGGGAGCAGATATCTTTGGTTCCTTCCATAAAAAAGGGGCTCCATATTTTCCATTACCTTGAATCTACTAAAGCTCTTTTGCCTTGTGGTTGGACATTCTGATAACTTAGCGTCCATCTCCCAGCTCCTTCATAATCTTATACAAACACTGCTATTTTAAGCTCATGTTCCTACTGCCCTCCTGTTCTAGCAAAGTGAGGCCACCAGTCCTTGAAGGATGGGCAACCTCAGCCTGCATCTCAAGGGCTTGTCACTTTCAGGTCTCATCAGGAGTGCTCTCTTTTTGTCCAGCCACAGATGTCCAGTGTGATCATCTGAGATAGTGCCTCAACTTGTGGTCACGGAGAAATACATAGGGCAATCCCGGGTTGATATTCCTCATCCACGTTAGGCAAGTCCTTGCAGCGTCAGGAGAGCCAAGGGCAAAACGTTGAGCAAAATGGAAGGAATGGCACAAAAAGCAGCACAAAAACACACACGTTCCTCAATTTTCAGCTGAGGGCCTCGGAGGTTGGGTGGAAGTTTCACTCCCAACGAAGGGCTAGTAGTCGTCATCTTGAGAGGTTCGACGGTGCAATCCAGCCAATCGGTGGCAATGGAACGAGGGTAACCTGCTTGGAGTTGCAGGGTCTCCTGGTCAAACTTCCAATACTGTTGGCCCTTAAAAACATAGAGTGTTCCTGCAGCAGGACAGAGAAGTGACAGCAACAATAGATTGATGCAAAGTTGCAGAAGACGAAGAAATGTCCCTGAAATAATACACAGTACAGAATGGTTTGGAAGAGGGAGCAGAAGTGATACAGGTAGCCCTCAACTTACAACCATAATCGATCCCAACATTTGTTGCTAGGTGAGACAGTTGTTAAGTGAATTTTGCCCCCTTTTTGCAGCCTTTCTTGGCACAGTTATTAACTGAATCACTGCAGTTGTGAAGTTAGTGACATAGTTGTTCAGTGACATTTCTGGCTTCCCCATTGATTTTGCTGATCAGAAGATTGCAAAAGCCCCTCTACATGGGGCTGCCCCTGAAGAGTGTTCGAAGACTACAGCTGGTCCAGAACGCAGCCGCGCGAGCGATATGGGGTGTATCTAGATACA